TGAGGACTTCCCAGATCTTTAATGATTTGTCAACTTCTGGCATTATCTTTGAATTGCAGTATTTCCCAGGGATCTTCTTATCTCAGGTCCAATAGTGAGGGTATGGTGGCTGAAAAAGAAGCAACAGTAACGTTTCTGCAGCCCTTCTGGGCCCGGAATCTGGTGGTTCTCGTTAGTTTTATAACATTCATGCAAGTTTGCATCAAGTGCTAATTTCTCTGTTTCCCCAGTGAAAAGGCTGAAGTAGAGAGGTTAAGTGGCTTTCTTGTCCAGGGTCAGGACGCTGGTAGGTGACAGAACTGTCTCTTGATTCTCTGCCTCAAACTCTTTCCACCAGGCAAAAAGCAAGTCTTTGAGGTATGTGGAGCGGCTTTTGAATCTAGGAGTGGGGCAGACTGAATAGCTTCCTTGATATTTCTCAGATTCCATGTAAAGATACTGACTTTTATATGGATCATAATATCTACAAGTTGTGTAGCGAGGATTTTTCTTTTTTTTAAATGCGAGGCCGGTCTGGATGTACCCAGCCGTATTATATAAGAAGATATGCAGAAATCTTGTCTTTTTCTCCCCGTTGGGTTCGCAGCGCTTTGTTCTGAAGGCCACAGAGGGGAGTGTAGTTTATCCTTCTCATCTCGTCCATTCGTTGTTCGTTCTGGGTCTTCACGGAACCATTGTGTGGCTATCCCGGATGGATACTGAGAGATGATCTCAGAGGGGGTGAGTCACCAACGGCCTCTCTGTTACGGCGGAAAATGAATTGCTCATCACAGCCACACGCACCAAGCAATCAGAGGCGAGGCCCTGAGACGGTGACAAATTTCATTAACTCAAGAGTTGCAAAGGTCACCCCGGACGTAGGTTTTTTTTTTTTTTTTTTTTTTTTTTCAGTCTTTCAAAGGAGAACCTGAAATTATAGACCATATTATTTTTGCATCAAATATTAAGCAGCCTCTATGGAGAAGCACTGTGTGTTTGGCCCCATGGGAGACACTGCGAAATAAAACTCAGATTCCCTCTCTCCCCACGGAGTGCAGAGCCTTGGTATAGGAATAAGCACACCCCAGAAACTACCTAGGAGGCCGGGCCGAACGAGAAAGAAAGGTGCGCATGTTCACAAAGGAGACGCGCCGAGTTGTCAAAAGCCAACCTGTGGTCGAGCTCACCTGTGTTCTGCAGGTTTAGTACAGCGTGGTGATGAAATTAGCCTTGGAGTGGAGGTTCGTTTTCACTGAGATACAATGCTACGACTCAGATGTCGCTGTTCTCGGTCGGTTATATTTTATCCTAGGACTTTTTTGGTTGGTTAGTTGCTGGCTTGGTGGATTCTTGGGAGAGGAGGTGGAGAGCGAGACCTGAGCCGTGTCCAGGTCTTCTCCCGTGTGCTGCTTAGGACGGAACGTGACGAGCATGTGTGCGGTGGCTCTCGTGGCAGCTGCGACCACTGATGGACACGGGGCTGTGCACGCCACCTTGGGAGCGCAGCGTGTTTGCTGCTTACTGGGTCCTTGGGAAACTCAACACATTTTTACATGGAAAAGAGACATCGTGACTTCTCTAACAACCCAGCTAGAATACCACAGAGCCAGGAGTGAGTCG